TAAGACTGAGCAGGAATTAAATGCCACAGTAGAAAAAATTCAGACTGGAATTCATAATTAATTACATGGAGTCGTAGTACACAAACAATACAGAAATGAGTGTTTAGCGGCTAAAAGCATCACAGAGTTGGTCTCCTTCAACTGTCATGCAGAATGTTACAGCTGGAAGATATTAATATACCACATGCATTTCAGTGTCGTAAATATGGGCAATAGATGTGATATCCCACCTACATAAAATTTTGATGCACTTGGAAATTAAATATGGGACATCTTTGGCAAAAATTATGTTCTTGGGGTACAAGAAGACAAATTTTCCACCTTACATATTTTTCATGAAATAATCCATCAGTTCTCTGTCAGCCAGTAAGATTATTTTAAGAAGGTGACTTGAGGTTATACAGTAAACAAAGTAAAGGAGAGTGTAAAGAATTGCTGGATTATTTCACTGAGCTAGGATTAGATGATTATTCCATGTTCAATTTTTTTTTTAATCTAGCCTTTAATCAACCTACAGTTTTGAAGCTCAGAACTTTTTTGGGTTGTTAATAATAATTCTAGTCCTCTCAAAAATAATTTTACATATACGCTACAACACCATTAAGAAGTTTGGAAGTATCAGTCCCTTAGACACCAACATCAAATGCTTTTCTAATATCAGAATTTTGGGCCAAAATTCATTGATTAACCACAATGGAAACAATTTCCAACAAGACAAAAGCATAAATTTCTCTAATGACAGCATATATATATATATTTATATATATATATATATATTATATATATGATAATTCATTCCACAAAATTTTGACATTTTTATTTTTTCTTCTAATTTCACTCAAATCAAAAAAGGAAACTAAAACCTAATCAAGTTATGTGGCCGTGGGCAAAGCTATCCAGGAGCAACAGGTGTAACCTGTCGTATTTAAACCTCTGTCATGTTGATGCTAGAGAAGTGGGTGGTGTCAACCTCCCAAGATCTTAAGCCCTTAAGGAATATGTAGTGAATACTTGAAAGTCTGGCAGATGATTTAAGATCTCCAAATTAATTGAATTGATCCTGTAAGCAAAATGATCTACAGGTCACATATTTGTTTAATTTTTACCTGACACAAGCCACTCCAGCTGCTTGAGCTCAAGAGGAGAAAAGGAAAGGAAAAGAAGTCTCAAAGAAACTCAAAAGTCAGTGAAGTGAGTTTTTTTTTCCATATGAAAAAGTAAGTAATTTCTAACTTGGGATAAATAAATTATTCTGTAGTCTTTTTTTTCTTTTCTTTTTTTTGTATAATGACTATAAAACAAAATACAAAACATCCTCACAGAATATTTGTTTAGCAGAAGGTGGAAGAGTTGAAAACTACTACACAAGTAAGTTTCTCAAGGTCTAATGATCTGTTTGATCAACTACTAGATTTCACTTTCCATCCAATGATTATTTGAATTTTTATTACATAGATTAGAATCAAATTAGAAGAAACGCTGGATCCTCAGGCTTTTCTACAATCTCCATTGTTCAGTATTATGACTATTTCCAAAGCAGTCTGGAAAAAAAGTATGTGACTAATGTCAAAATCAATTTTTCTCTCGCCGCCATGTTCTGATAAGGTCACTGGGACTCATCTTGGCACTGTAGCCCTTTTTTCTCCTGCTCATAAGTTCTGTCTATATCAGTCTCCATCACTCAAAGCATTGAATACTTGTCAGTAATAATATCAGTGATAACTTGAATTTTTTTTTAATTAGAAAAGTACTTGAGATTGGCAGTAGAGGACTGCTATAGTCATTGTTCAAGGGTACATTATTGCAGAGGCCTATTCATACATGATCAATACAGCAGATATGACAGAGATTAAACAGAGATTCATCTCAACGAGCCAAGAATATGATCGATATTACTTATTTTCTTTATTTAAACAAGCAAAAATACTGAAAGCAACCTAATTTACAATTTACATGATATATCTTTTGCAGAATGTCTATAGAATAGGAATCATCCTGTTCTAACTTTGAGTCAGAGCGCACAACGGCTTTGGAGCTAGCATTAGCAGGTGGATAGTACCTTGGGTGAGTTTCAACAAATGCCATACATAAACTACTAAACGACACATAGAAAATATGAAAAGCAATCTGAAGAAATACGCTTTTATTTATTTATTTACTTGTAAATGAAAATTGTAATGCACCAAGTGTATGTACTGTGCACCATACACACTAATGAAAAGCCGGGGCTGTTAAAAGTCTAAGAGACTAATACAATGAAATGATTATTCTTGAGCCGTCCTATTCTTGAATTGTTAGATTATGTTGCCTGTGGTCACGTTCAGTAAAGCCTGTTTCCCTGCCCTTAAATTAAACTGATTTAAATGCTCGATAAGCATCGCCTCTTCAGCTGTGATCTTATCATCCATCCCTTCCACTTCAAAATGGGTCAGTGTATCATCGCTGTGATATTAAAGGCATTTGATGTGGGCTGCAAAATGTGACATTTCACTGCTGTGTTTACAGTATATTTGACTAAAACCCAACCGGCTCAGATATTTGAGTGTTTTTGTCATTATATGGTGCAAACATTCAAAAACTGTAACATATTTACTTGTGAATCGAGACCAGTGCAAGAAGGCCACTTATTGCTCATTCTGTACAATAGTGTCCATCCATCTGAAAGGGACTAATTCCCTTTCACGGGCCTGCAGGGAGTTTTGTTTCAGAGAATGGCATACCAGAAGCTGCTTTGTGTTTGCTAAATGAGCAACATCAGAAGTAGAAAGAAGAAACAATGAGAAGACACAGTGGGAAGTTTCATCTGTAGTGTAAATACATTAGATTTCTTTATTTGAATGGGTTTTTCCCCCCAATTTTTTCTCCGGCCTGTGATGTTATAGCCGTTGTTTGCAGGTGGTCTCGTGTTTCATGTGATTTAATACATTAATTATTCTCCTTCGGAATACAGTTCTTAAAGAAAAAAATCCCACATGGACCTAACTTATACCATGAATCTGAATACATCCCTGTGTAAAATCAGTAAAATGCTGAAATAAAAACTTCCACATCAGTGTGGTAGTTAGTACAGTATTATACAGAAATCTGTTTAATAGTGTGTTTCATGCGTGAGAGAGCGCCTTTTTGTTGTTGTTGTTGTGCTAAGCTAATAAGCAGAATGCTACAGGGATAGCTCTAAAGAATGTAGCATCATGGTCAGTGTAGCCCGTGCTGCAGGGAGAATGGACTACACGTGTCGATCGTGGTTCAAGAGTTGGGAGTTGCCTTGTTATCGGAAGGTTGCTGGTTTGAGCCCTGGCTTGGACGGTCTCGGTCGTTGTGTCCGTGTGCAAGACACTTCACCCGTTGTCTACTGGTGGAGGTCAGAGGGCCCGGTGGCGCCAGTGTCCAGCAGCCTCGCCTCTGTCAGTGAGCCCCAGGGTGGCTGTGGCTACAATGTAGCTTGCCATCACCAGTGTGTGAATGGGTGGCTGGTTGTGTCAAGCGCTTTGGGGTCCTTAGGGACTAGTAAAGCGCTGTACAAATACAGGCCATTTACCATGTGTCCGTGAGCGCAAGGAGGGAATTGTCACCCAGCAGAAACAGGAGCTGGAAGCATGTAAATATAATAATAACCACTGCAGCCAAAAAGAGTGCCTGACAAGCCCAGTTGTAAGTAAGCTATTAAGACTCAACTGTACACTGTGTTCGTGTTTTCCTCTGAAACAATAAGCTCCGTTGGAGCAGCCTTTCAACTGCTAGCAAAGTTGACCAAGACAACAAAGTAAAGCTAGTTTTCAGCTACAAACCAGACATATTAGCCAGAGGTCCCTTTACTACGGTTCGGAGCCGCAGACCTTCAGTAACAGTAATCACACAGCAATAGTATATTTACGTAGTTGTAAAAAGCATGATAATATATTAAGTAATCCAAAGTATTCAGAATACATTACTTTCATTGAGTAACATAACGGAATACGTTACAAAACAATACATTTTGGCGCATGTAATCTGTAGTGGAATACATTTTAAAAGTAACCTTCCCAACACTGCTGGCTGACCATTATGCTGCTGAACTTTAGCTGACACGTCATTAGAATAGTAGCTTGGGGGTATAAGAGAAACCATATTACTTGCAGGGCCATACTTCTTGTATTGCTCTTGGTCAGGACCATTACCACCTGGGAAGGACCACTACAGTGCTGATTGAATAGTGATAGCAATCTCATTAAGAGCTGGCGTTATCAATGCAAGTTAAATGTCAGCTAAGTTTCTTCTTAGCTTCTTCAGACTGGATCTCATGAGATCTAGTCTAAAGAAGCTAAGAAGAAACTTTCCAACACAGAGTCACAGAGGTGCTTTTAAAGGGGAAACGAGAGAGAAGGGGGGGGGGGGGTATTTAAGTTTAAATTACTCTTTTATTTGTACTGCAATGTACTTAATTTTATTGTAAGGCAATGTGTATATTCTCACCAGCAAAAGTGAAATAACCCTAAAAAGATGTAGGTAAATATATGAGTGCACAATCCTTTCCCAAAGTTACCAAGTCAAGTCAATTGATTCATATGTAAAAAAAAATTTAAACAACACTTGCTGGCTAATAGGGTTTTACAGGCGCACACACACTTGTAATCCAGGTCTCAAGAACCCAATTACAAACATGGAACTTACAAGTTACTTGACCTAAAATAAGTATTATAAGTCCACGTGGATACTGATGAGGTACTATACTATCCAGTGTCTCAAAATGGCAAAGATTCACACTTATGTGTGTGTATTTGTGTATGTTTGTAATCCTATTGCCTGAATAGCCTAATCAATAGGTCTATCTAGTCTCCAGAGTAACCACTGCTATTTTCAGTTTTTAAGATCAGAGTTTAGCTGAAAGGGGAACATTATTATTATTATTATTATTATTATTATTAGCAGTAGTAGTAGTATTATTATTAGTATTATTATAGTTGCGATGGAGGAAGACATGATCAGTCTGTGGACATTATCCAAATTTCGCGCCTGCGCAGTAGCTATATTTTCTAGCCATTCAAGCTACCCCAGCCAGCTAGACAAATGTAAGCTAGCAGAGATATAAATTAGACAAAGAAACCTTGTAAAGAGACTGAATGAAAAAGAGTTCAAAGTGACGGACCGTGAAAGGAGCAGGTGTAATACAAAGCTTTATGCGTTATTCGATATATGTGGGAGTATGAAATTGAGAGGTACGCAGTCACCACGTCTTTTTAAACTTTTTTGCCAGCAGCCAGTGTAGAGATTAGCTAGCTAGCCGCTAGTTAGCCGATGTTGTTTTCCCACCAGCAGGCTGAACCAAAGCGCTTCGTTAGTTAGCATCCTGTCTCAGTGAAGGCCCTTTTGTTTCACGCCGGCTAATGCGGGGTCTAAACAACACGGCACGGAATCAACTTGAGGTATCTTTAGTTATTTTGTGTCGCAGATGAGAAGTAATACAACTGATCTAAGTGTGCTGGGAAACATGCGAACAGATTTATTGCTAACATGTTGTGTGCTAGCTGATGACTATTCGCCGTATTTGCGGTCTGCTAAAGTGAAGTTAAGCTTGCTAATGAAAAGGTTAGCTACATACGTATTGAACATAAAATCGATAAATATCTAAAATATGATGCTTCCCCTTTTTTTACTGTTCTTATTTGAGCAAGTTTGTTGTTAAATGACGACATATGGTGAAGCGGCGTAAATGATGGTCTGGAAATTTGTATTGATACTTTAGCTAACATTGAGCTGTTGCTTTATTTGCTATTTATTTTTTAATGTTTTTCATACTAACTTACTGTTAGTGATACTTGTTTACATCTGGAAAACCGTATTGGGTAATGTAAGTTGTGAGGCTCAATACAACTCCTGCGGTGTAACTTTTAGCTAATGCAATCCAGCTAGTTGAATGTTAGTCCGCATAGCATCATCTGTGTTGTGTTACAGGCGAGGTAGCACAACTCCAGCTAATGTGTTGGCCAAACAAAGTTGCAGGTGAATCTTAAGTTTAACACACCGACCTATCAGCCGAGCAGCCACCTAAAGGATGTGGCGAGCGATAAATTGTCCTAAATTATCGTTAACGTTTAGCAAAATACTACAAACCTAAATTACTCATCCGGATAACCAGTATGTTGTCGTGAGTGCTGCACTCAGTTTTTAATAACGTGGCATTCACGACTGGTTTTTATTTATTTATTTAAGCAATCACTTTCCTGTGGTTCAATTTGTTGACTTTTTGGGGGGGATAAAATGTGACGGGTTTGTTATGAGCATTTTCTTCATTTCTAGATGCTTCTGTAGCATGGGGGCTCTTCAGTTACTACTAGATAGGTTGAACAGCTCTATATTCAAGGCCTAATATTTGTTTCCTTTTTTTTTTCTAGTATGTAACATCAAGATAAGGTCATGAAGGATCCAGTGATAACCTAAAAACATCCATCTGTGTACATTTCAACCATTCAAGAGGTGATTATAAGGAGTTGGTTCTTGCTCTTTAGGGCACTAGGCTCAGATGTGTGCAGACTTGATTGTGTAGATTCAGTTTGACTACTCAAAGCACTGATACAAGGCTTTATACTGGAAACCGCACATACACATTAGCATGAGTGAGCGCTATAGCTTGCAAATTATATCACAATATTTCTAGGAAATTTGCCATAGCGATAATTCTGACATTACAGAGAAGGTAGAAAAAAAAAATACTGAAAGATGTTTAAATGATGCTTGCAGGCAGCAGCATTTATAAGTGCAAGTAAATGAGCATTTTCCATTCTGCTTTTCCAGTGAGCTACTGTCACTGATGACATACTTCCTAATTTAAAACAATGCAGCGTTTATAGTGCAATAGTAGTGACAGTATGATTTAGCTGTAAGCAAACAAGTTGCTCGGTAGTGTTTTTCCTGAAAATTTTAACAATAACTACAGTGACATAAACTCGTAGCTGTACAATACTGTACAGAATAAAGGAGAAAATCTTCCACCTAGGATGTTACATCTTGGGTCCAGCTTTTATTTATTTCTTTATTACATGGTTCCACCATGTAAGCGCGTCAGTAATTTCCATCCACCGTTTGCCCTTGCTGTCATATGGAGCGCAAGCAGAAAGTCTTCCTGTGATGCTTGGTGGAGTCATTTGTTTTCTTTTGAGTTGGAAATCGTCAGCGCCTGCTGTCTCGTCCTTCTTAGCCTGGTTGTACTTGCAGTGTGTTTTGTTTTGTTTTTTTTTATCTCAGAAGGTAAAATATGTTTGCTATTTCCACCTGTAGCAGGAACAGTTTTCTTGGAAATTTTTAAAAGTTCTGTTCTTTATTTGGAAATTGTGGAAGTAGCTCCCTTTTTTAGGTACCAAAGTAACAGAGTAGGGAGTGTAAATGTATAGCATTGATATAGCAATCATATCACGATATATATTTTTATAGAGACATAGAAAGAAGTCTCATCGGAGTCTACAATAATCCAAAACAGTTTCAGTCATACTGTGTCTACAGCAAATTCACTGACCGCTGGTTTGTATTTAACGAAATGTTTTCTTTAGGTGATAAAACTACATAATGTATGATCGTGTGCTATGGTTAAGCAAAGTCATAACACACACAGGAGTACAAGAACATTTTTAGGTAAAACATTTATGCATTTAAGATTAAGTTTACATTATTAGTATAATGTATTATAAAACATGGAAATGGCGACATCAGCTTGCCCTTTGACACTGGATATTGTCTCAGAATTGGAACACTTTTGGGCTCAAATTAAATATTAGAAATTAAAGAAATTTTACTTTATTTTTTTATGTAGCACATGGTAGGAGGGAGGTACAAAAGATGATTAATGCTAGGGGCGTTTGCCAATTGTCTAAAAACATGACCAGTTTCATCATTTTTAATAGAAATTTACTCCAAGAAAGTGTGATAAGGATCTCAGGGCTTTAGAGACTTTTGAACTTACTGCAAGAAAATATGAACTTAAATGATCTTACGTTAGGAGAAAAATAAAAATAAAACTGTGTGATCCAGCTCTGATAAATATGAGCAGTTATATGTAGGTTTTGGTATATTGCTGTCATAAACATGCACTGAATAAGTGAAATAAAAATGGCATTTGTATCTTGCCATTGTTAGAAAAATAGTATGGAGCACTTGATTTTTGTTTTTTAATTTTATTTTATTTTTTTCAGAAATTTGTGGAGAGGCATGTCTTGTAGGTGTCCAAACATTAGACATACAGTTCGGACGAACTATAAATCCTGCTTCAATTCCTGCTGTTCTGAACAGCCAACATCATTTTGACCCTTTTTTTGCCAGCCACAACTGCTGAAAGATAACCTTTTGATTTATTTAGTTATGTAATATTGGCTGTTTTCATTGAAGCTTTTCTGTTTTGTTTTTTCTTGCTGTAATCATTTTTGTAATAAATCACGCTGACTATAGCTTTACTCAAACTTTGGAGATGTGCTTTTAGGGTGACTGGCGACTTGCTGTCAAGTTATGGTACTTTTTACATAAAGGAAAAGTACAGAGAATACAGTTAACTGTACATGAGGATGGTTTCATTTTCATTTTGTTTACTCATGTTTCAAATGTGTTTCCAGGCTGATTCATGAAAGCTAAACTTTATGCTGTTTAATTCTCGAGAAATACTCGTTGTTTATTGTTTTCTTGTAATGTTAGTGCTTTAAGGACGCAAGTGAGTGGTACCACAGAGCCAGCGATGTCACGGGTTCCCACTCCTCCTCCTCCTGGGGAGATGTCAAGTGGACCTGTGGCAGAGAGCTGGTGTTACACACAGGTATGGTCACAACGGTACTCTATTTGTTCTTTTCTGCACCTATTAATGATAGAACTATTTTTATTTTTTATATAATTGTATTTGAAGTGGCAATCTCATACACATGTAATTACTGGTAGTAATGAAAAATAAAGGTAAATATACTACAGGTCACCAAATTCTGGGGGCAATAAAGAAAAATATTGACTCCCCCCCCCCCTTCCTAAATGCTGCACATAGCTGAGTCTGTGAATAGCAAAGCTGAGAGGTTGATCTGTAGCTTGACACCTGCAGCTCCTCATCTAACTGGCTACACCCACTTTTTGTATTTGATAATAAAAGTCAATTCATCTCTTGCACACAGTGTGAAGCTGTAGCAGTAAGAACGGCTTATTTTACATTTGGGGTAACTTAATACAGCGTTTTACTCCCAAGTATGTTGTCAGAGGCACAGTATTTCTAATATTATAAACATATGCATATAAATATTTTGGTACTTTAATAAGCAAATTGCAGAGTAAATCATTATCAGGTTATCTCATTATAAATAGGCAGTGACCCTACAGGCATTAGAAAAATGAAAGCTTCTTGGTTGCCACTTTAAATGCAGATTTTTTTTTTTTAATGTTAGTTTTAAAATCATATTTTCCTGTTTTTTATTCTCAAATTTTATTCTCCTTAGAATATTATTACTGAGGTCGGGGGTGGCACAGCTGTTAAATATCAACAGTAATCCAGCATACAAAAGATTACACCATACAACAGCAGTTAAATTGAATTTGGCCTTCATTATTGTTACAATTTTACATCTTTTGTGGTTTTTTTGAGGGGTTTTTTTCTCTCCCTATAGTGACACTTTCCAAGTGATCAGAATTTACTGTGGGAGTATGTTAAGTTTCACATTAGGGGTCTGATGGGTCCTTATGTGTCTTATTCTTGTTCAAGGTCAAAGTTGTGAAGTTTTCCTACATGTGGACCATAAACAACTTTAGTTTTTGCAGAGAGGAAATGGGAGAAGTGTTGAAGAGCTCAACTTTCTCTTCTGGCCCTAATGACAAAATGAAATGGTTAGTACTCAAGATAAACCTTTTACTGCTGCTAGATGTTTGTTGTTTTTTTTCTTCTTCCCTTTAGTTTCTGTGGCCATGAAAATCACTGATGTGTTGAATAGCTTTTAGAGTTTTGGAACTGTAAACATGGTTTAGCTTTTTACTATTTATATCAAATTTTTTGCCTGATTGAGTTCCTAGAATTTTCTAGAACAAACCCGCATGTCAATAAAAAGTATATTTGTTTTCAGTATGTGAACTCTGCACATAGGTGATAATTACACACAGCTGCTCAGAAACACGAAAATTGCGCCTAAGGGCGCGTCGCAGTACTGTTTTAAGTTTGTATGATAACTGACGTGCAGTGTTATCTGTTCGCTTGGCAGGTGTCTGCGAGTCAATCCAAAGGGACTTGATGATGAAAGCAAAGATTATTTGTCATTGTATTTACTTCTTGTTAGCTGTCCAAAAAGTGAAGTCAGAGCAAAGTTCAAATTTTCTTTGTTGAATGCTAAACGAGAGGAGACAAAAGCAATGGGTGAGTGCAGGATTTTGAGTGTTTTTTGGGTTCCTTTTCATTCCCTACTTGTAAAAGCTATAACAAGACTGCAATTTTGTTTTTTTTTTCCTCTTGGTTGCAGAAAGCCAAAGAGCATATAGATTTGTCCAAGGCAAAGACTGGGGCTTCAAAAAATTTATACGGAGAGATTTCCTCCTTGATGAAGCCAATGGACTTTTACCAGATGACAAGCTCACCCTGTTCTGTGAGGTAATCTTTCCTTTTATTCTTCAAATTAAAGTGCTACCATTTTGTCTTTTTTGGTCATTATATTTAGCAACATTACAAATGACATGAACCACAATTTCTCTACTCGATTGCAGTCAAAAGTTCTATCGATTGTAAAAATTGTAAGCGATTAAATTCAAATTGGGTTCTTTCCGCTAACATTTGGCTAGTGGAAAGAACCTGGTTGTCTTTTCTGTTTTTCTTTTTTTTTGTACCAGTTGTTGTGTTATATTTGGCTTTATAAAGTATTCATTTGTTATGTTAAATTTTAAATGAAGTCTTCAACATTAGACCACTCTTATATGAACTTAATTACACCCATGTTGCGACCTTTTAATGGATTAGAGCTCTTGACATGACCACATTACACCTGAGTGCATGCTGTGGTGCAACTTATTGTTAGGATTTGCTTCAAATGACATTGAACTGTTGGCAAAAGAAATGCTTCCCCCATCACACATCATTTGTGTTGGATCTTGTTTTCTGAAATAATTGAATTTGGTATGTCAAGAAGAATGAACATCTACTGAAATCTTCTTTCAAGGGACAAGTTAAGTGAGGTGGCAGTGAATTTTCATGTACGTGCAATTGAGTTAGTATTGCTAGGATTACAATTTGCCAGCCAGCGTTTCCAGAAGGATTAAACAGTTTCAGAGAAATTGCCACTTTGATAAATAAATTGCATTCAAATTAAAGACAAACTGTCTCTTCCCATCAATTAGGGATGTCAGCAAAGTTAATTAATTTTGGATTTAAGTGGTTGTATGTTTTCAAGCATTTTGCCATCCTAATTGTAGGTTCCCTAGTCTGGATAATACACACTAAAAAGAAAGAAATCAAACACATATTGGCTGCTAAATGTTTGCTACATATTTGCTGCTGGATTTGTTAGCATGTTCTGACTTGATACAACAGCTTTAGTTTGGTTTTTTTTGTTTTTCTCTCTGCTATACAGGTTAGTGTTGTCCAGGATTCTGTTAACATTTCAGGCCAGTCTAACATGAACATGCTGAAGGTACCAGAGTGTCAGCTGTCTGATGACCTCGGGAACCTGTGGGAGTGTTCACGCTTCACAGACTGCAGCCTCTATGTGGGAGGGCAGGAGTTCAAAGCCCACAAATCCATCCTTGCAGGTAAGACCTCCCTGGCCTCCACAACTTAAGTTTGTAACAACTCAGAGAAAAGCCCTCAAAATGGGCCAAGACAGACACATCTGTGCCGCCTCTGAACAGCTTCTGTGGAGAGCTATAAGTACCTCGAAAGACTACGAGCAGTCTGTGTTCATGGCTTGATTTGTAGCGGCCTACTTCTGCAGTGGGTGCTAATCCACACCACTACCCCTGCTTGGCCCTGCTTGACCCAGATGACTGTAAGATTCAGGAGATTGAGAGGCTGGCTCTGCTCTCTAGTTCATCTTCATTAGACATGGTGGAAGCCTCAGTGCTCAAAGAGGAAGTGCTAACAAAGTGGCAGCAATATAAATTTTGCAGCATTTTATTTTAATAGTATAGATATTTGTGGACTTTTTACATCTGTCTTCTAAGATCTTAGTAATTTATGTGCTGTTTCCTTATGTGACATTGATGCTTATATGCCTGGATGAATTAAGACATTTTTATTTGCTTTGCTAATGTGCTCAATATTGTTGACGAGTCACTGGTAAATGTCAAAAGTGTATATTTTTTAATATATATTTTTATGCATTTTTTTTAATTTTTTTTTTTTTTTTTTTTGCAGCGAGGTCACCAGTTTTTAATGCTATGTTTGAACATGAAATGGAGGAGAGTAAAAAGGTAGGAGTAAAACTTTAATTGTCACGTCCTCAGCAAATCCTTTCAGTACTGTTATTGCTCTTGTATATATGCATACTAGGTTCTGTGCACTAAAGAAAGCCGTCTAAATTTGCAGAACCGTGTTGACATCAGTGATGTGGATCCTGATGTCTTTAAGGAAATGATGGGCTTCATCTATACAGGCAAAGCACCAAATTTGGAGAAAATGGCAGACAATTTGCTGGCAGCTGCAGATAAAGTAAGTGCCCAGTGAGATTATGCTTTTATTTGACCAGACATCTACTGCCATTTTCTCTTGTAAAAGTAGAAAATTAACCTTATAGTCTTATGGTCTTGCTTGGTATTGTATTCAGTTACTAACTCACTAGTAACTCAAAGAGTGAAACAGTAAAGCTGAAATGGTAATTGTATGCAGTATTGTCATGGACAGTAGTGTACAAGCAACACTATATGTAAGTCAATGAGGCTTAAGGGCTAATGCGGTCTGTTCTGTAATTATGTAGCTGTTAGCCGTCGTAGTCTGTATTTTTTACCTTCATTCATTCATTCATTCATTCATTCATTCATTTATTTATTTATTTATTGGGGGGATGTGCTCATCCACAGTGTGTGCTTCCAAACACATACTTGTAGGCAGCTCTTCAAACTTTAAAGGGCTGATTTTATCTAAGGTTGCTGATATGGTGATGTGGTTTCTCTTCTGTGTTGAGACTGATTTGTCTAATATTTTCGTCTAGGGCTGTTATTGTGTAGCTGGAAAAGGATAAACTGTTAGAAGAATCAAAACTGTACTGAGTGAGCTTTCTGTCATTCCCGTAAACACGGTGCTTCAGGGACGCTTCAAGGGAATTTCTTCAAAATCTGTACAAACCATTCTAACTCAGGGATGCATTTATTAGGTCTTACTTGTCAAACCTAAAGCTCTCTGTGACCTCACAAAACATTTTGTTATAAACGGTGTGTAAAAGATTGATGTCGACAACATTTAAATTTTCGTTGTCGACATGTTTGTCACTGCTGTGTTGGTTTGCATTCAGAAACTATACAGATACAACATAAAGGCACAAATCAGCTAATTAGTGCTAAGCAGCAGGTTAATTAAGTCTTAAAATTTCACTCAACAAAACAGAAACGCAGGCTTTTCAGATCAGCTTTACCGCACAAACAGCTGTGTGATTATTTTTTTCAGATCATTCAATTCAGTTAAAATACTCAAGCATACTGGAGAGGTCCACTGTGGTGGCTGGAACTGGCAAAGTTACACCACACAGACAGCAGTCAGCTAAGGCTCCATGTGTTGGCACACCTGCCAATCAAAGCAGGCATCCTCCTAATATTAAACTCATACAGGATTCATGTCAAATAAATTTCTTCATTCGCCCTTACATAACTCATAAGTTTAAACTGGATGTAAACTGCAACTCTACTGGTCGACAGAGGCATAGAACTGCAAGGTAGTGCTTTTAGTTTTCTTTAAAATGCTTATTAGAGAGCCTTCTGCTTCAGCATTTTGGATCCTCGTCAATTTTTCTCCATTTCTATTAGGATTGCTGAGTCATCCATTCCAGTAAATGATTGCATCCGTAGCCTTAATGTGCATTTGCACTAACTGTGATAAAACCGTAAGTCACCGGCATTTATTTAACATGTAGACTATAATCACTGCTCTCTGTGTTCCCCCCCTCGTTCCATCACCTCCACCCCAGTATGCTCTTGAGCGTTTAAAGGTTATGTGTGAAGAGGCCTTGTGCAACAGCCTTTCAGTGGAGAATGTGGCCGACACCCTCATCCTGGCTGACTTGCACAGTGCCGAGCAGCTCAAAGCACAAGCCATAGATTTTATCAACAGGCAAGTATCGCAAAAAAGAAAAAAAAACTCCAGTGATAAATTCCTGCTGCCATTTCTGTTTACCAGCCCTGAATGCTTACCTTTTTATCTCCTTGCCATAGGTGCAGTGTCCTGAGACAGCTGGGCTGTAAAGATGGAAAGAACTGGAATAGCAAGTATGTAATTAGCTGATATATGTGACACAAGATTAATACCACACTCTTATCTCTTTCCCCGACCAGATGCATTAGAATTCATTGTTTTAGCCCAGGTAGACAGAGTGCTATTTGCCTTTTCAGTTTGAAGCTCCATATCTTTGTATCCAAGTTATTAATAGACTCATTCCTGGATAAACCCTGGAAATGGAATATTTGTAGAATTTTAAAAAGAATGCAGGTGGTTGCCGTGGGAAGATTTTTTTTTTTCTTACTTCTCTTCCAGATGATGTAGTGCAGTGTTACAGGACACCTTGAAATATTAAGCTTATTTCTCTCTGTTGTATTCACAGCGCGACGCATTCCACCGCTCTATTAATTTTAGTTTATGCATGTGTGCGGAAAGCACTAATGGCCCTTTTTCAAGTTTAGCATACAACTCACAAATCAAATCCCACTTATTTGCTTTGTCATTACAATCTCATTTATGTTTATTGGTTTTTAATGTGCAGATTATCATGTCTGAGTATCTGACTTCATTTTGCATGTGCTTACAGTCATGCTACAGATATAATGGAGACTGCAGGCTGGAAGTCAATGATCCAGTCCCATCCTCACTTGGTAGCCGAAGCCTTTCGTGCCCTGGCTTCAGCACAGTGCCCACCCTTCGGTCTTCCCAGGAAGCGCCTAAAACAGTCTTGACTGCTCGACTGTGTCCCAGGACTTTACTGGAGGTGTGAAGCATGGGTTTACAAAAAAGAAGGACTAGCAAGGATACCACTCTTTATTTCCACCAAAACTGAACACACTTGAATAAAGAAGAGTGGGGCTTTCTGGCCAGGGATGTGGGGGAGGCTGGCACGTGGAAGACTGACATCAATTGACTGGGGGGAGGAAAAAAAAAATTGGTTCACTCGGTGTTGCTTGCTTGCTTTGCTGCCCGAACAGAATTCTGTTCAGACTGGGTAGCAAGTCAAGCTCTCTGCTACAGTTTTATTTTTCCTGTAATTTTCAAAATGGCCTTAATATATCTGCCATTGCTCTGGAGCTGCTCTGGAGTACTTTGTCTATTTTACTCTGTGCCTGCCTTGTCACAAAGACCAGGCCTCCTCCAGGTTGCACTAGTTCCCATGAATAGTCATTTTGATATGGAGTTCTATAGGAACGTAACAAAGGTTTAACTAAATGGGAAATATTATATATTTGTAATGTTTAGCCCGTTTTGTGACTAGACATTAAAAAGCATGAACACTTTCAGTGCAAGGTCAGTTCTTTACACTTTTTAAAAGATGTGTATGCCCCATATTGATGGCACCATTTCTATGTAAATGACAGTTGAACCATCTTCAAAAGACCAATGTACAAGAAAGTGTGTCCTATTGCGTATTTGTGGGGGGAAATAGTGATCTGCCATTATGAAGACAGTGTCGATCCTTGTGAAACATGTAAGACAAAAGTGTCTGTACTTTGGCCCTAATATATTAAAACATTGGAAGTATATGGACATATTTACTCAGTCTCCCATTTGAATGACTTTTTCCAGATCATACGTCTGTGAACTGTTATAGATTCAATTTTGAGAATTTGTTTCTTTAGTATTGCCAACATGCAAATATTATATATTCTCAATATATTGTGGTTAACTAAAAGTGGAGAGACTAATGCATGGTCATGTTATTGTCAAAAGAAAGTGTCCAAGTACCAATTTTGTTTTAACCATTTTTTTTCTGCAATTATCTGACATACTTGTGCAGAATAAAATTAATTGAGTATGTGCAAAATCTTCCTCTAACATGCTTGGATATCTGTAGGATGCTGAGCATCACTTCTACTGGCAATGTTATTCTGTGTTTGAATGAGGGGTTGTCATTTTTTATTCGGTCAGTCTTGTATGTTGTGGCGTGACAGACACTTCAGAGGATTTTGTAAATTACGAGTAGCATCATTTTTACATGATATTACTCATCATTCAGCGTCATGTTGAGATGTTGAAACGTTGGAAGCAAAAAAAAGAAAAAAAACAAAAAGATGAAGTTGTTGTCTGCAAGAATGCCTGCATTAACCCATTAAAACATTTTCCAGCAGTCTGAAGTGGCCTAGGTTTTTTTTTTTTTTTTTTTTTTTTAATATGTTTTTAACTGGAGAATGTTGAGCTCAATATGAAGCGATTTCAGTCTAAGGAAGGATGGTTATTATCCACACAGTTTCTTTTAATGGTTGTACTAATGGGTGCAGGTATCAGGCTGGGGTGATTTTTTTTTTTGATTTTTTTTTTTTTTTCTTTTTGAGGGGTTCTCGTTTGGAAAAAAATAATAATTAGACAACAACACCACTGTGATAATCAAAAGAAAATGTGCTTTAACTGCATTAGCATAGTGCCATGTTAAATGTTGAACCTTTGTTCAGCACATAAAAGACGTGCTTTTTTCCCCCCCCCTATTTTATGTGTGAATGCTTGGCACAAGCCCTAATTAAAGTGAATGTGAGGCCGCTCTTTTCTGCTGGAAGAGAAGTCTTCATCAGCAGCTCGCTGATCCTCATCCGCCCCTCTCAGCACAGATCCCAGGAAAAGACCTGATACCATCTCTGCTTTAGGACGCCTCTCCAACCTTTTATCTTCCTCCTTCGCGTTCCTCTACTAACTTTAAAGCTTGAAAGAGAGAGATGCCTGCAGTGTCAAAATTGAATTTTTCCCTTATATTGATTGTCGGAAATAAGCGTTGAATGCTGAGAAGTGAAACATATGTTAACATTCCTTGTAGTTTTCCAGGGGATTTGGGTGCATGCAGCAGGAAAGCGTAGTGTGACTTGATGCCTATAAGGAGTAGGTGCCTCACCCTGATCAGATAAGAGTAATGGAAGCGAATGAAAAGACCCCTGTCCCTGATGGCCACGGCAAAATGGATGTGCTCCCTGAGGTGTACCTCTGGTATCATCCACGCCTGTGGACACAGATTTATTGCCCATTAAAAAGCTACCCTGAAATGTACCTCTTAAAATTGTGTGTTTATCCTGTTGAGAAGTCCTTTCAGGAATGAAACGAGACAACTACGAGCACCAACAGACTAGACCTGACTCGGTGTGACAGCATGCTTTGAGCCAAGTTCAAATAAGGTTTAATGCCATAAAAACCTAAATTGATCTTTACAGTTACATTTTAACAAAATCTGAAATCAAATATTCCAAAATGAAAAGTGTAATTACACTATACACAGAAGAGCTTTTACTCCTATTTTACAAGGGAAACTATTGAAACAATTTTGAGCAAGCAGAAATCAAACTGGGTACAATCTGCAGTTACAAAAAATGAAATCAAAGCAATCTAACCATCAGCTGAAATATGACATTTATCTACATGATATTTCTTAACAAACACCAAAAAATAAGGTACAGTATACTTGATAGAGTTCTCTGGAAAAATTAGGATAATCTGACATCATATACTTTGAAACCATAATCAATAAACACGTTTAGTTTTACACATTAACACACAGCATTTGCACAAAGGAGCAGAACCAAAACATCAACATAGATCAACTCCGAGTTAAGTTCCTTATCGTACACCTCACCTCATGTATAAGGTGATGAAATCATTTACAGCTGAAGTGGAAAGACATGAGATACATCCAATAAAATGACGCTAACAGAAATCTATTCTTTGTCTTTAGTGGCACATGCCCTAACCTAAAAACCCTGGGTATCTCCAGATAACAAAACTCATGCCGTTTAAAATCCGAATGGTTTTTAACAAAAGCTTTAAAAAAAATTTGAGTGATTTCTGAGTCGAACACATTACACCATGTACTACAAGACTGAATGTTATCCACTTTTACACAAAGTCAGCCAACTTAAGCCTGCTGTACTATTGGGAAATGTCTTATATTTCAAATTTAGTCCCTCTTCTCATTAAAATTGCAGATGGATTTTGTACTTTTGCCATCACCCCCACCTTTTTGTTTCTCCACTCTTGGTAAATGAAATTTCCCAGGCTAATTAAAGCCTATTAAAGACAGGTAATGTCAGGGCTGGTGGCAGAACCATGACAAAGTGCTGATAATTGTCTGCCAGACTCACTAAATCCACCTGTCCTGCAATTATTGCTTCCCCCTCCCCACCTCTCCTGACACATTAATCCACTGTGGGGCTCACTAGGCAGGCTGATGCCTCAAAGTGCATCCTGCAAACACAGATGTTGGATCTCAGACTAGTTTAGCATACACATGCCTTATGATAATTGTAGCAGAAAACCAACACATTTTAAGGCGCAAACAAGGCTGCAGCCATGTTAAGCTAGGATATGTGCCTACATACAGTTTGTTAGTAATGTATGATCATGCTCTCAAGTTTCTTATGCATTAGATTAGTTGGATGGACTTATTTTGTCATGAGCACTTTAGGAAGTGGTTTGAATCAGTCAAGTCACTTGCTTTTAGTCCCCACAAAAGAACGATAACAGATCAGTTTTAAGACCATATTAATTATTCATTCCTTAATGAAATAATTCCATTGATCAAAATAATTTGAAGTAATAGAGACTGTCCTGTCTGTGTTCTGTTAACAGGTATAAATGGATGTTAGCGCCACTTCAAAGGCAATGATCATTTTGACTAATCATTCTTAATGCAGTGATCTTCCAAATGGGATTTCTTTTTTTCATTTTATGCCCTGTTGAATAGCTTTATTAATGTTTAGGTATTGTAATTGTTAACATTATTTAAAGTCCTGTCATATTTTGTCACATTACTATTTAAACAAGGTTTGAAAATTGTTTGAAAATGTTGGCAGGAGTGCAGCTCTTCCAGAAGCCAGCTACACGCTTCCAACTCAGCAGGGCTCCATGCCTATAGTCTAGCCTTGAAGGAAACATCTGGACAACATACTAATTATACCCGTGGTTTACAGAGAACATGTTGTGATGTGGTGGATTCTTCCAGGGTTGGTAACTACCTTTTGAATCCCAAGCCAACCCCTAAAGCCAAGTCCCTGTACACCTAACTATCTGAAGTGTTAAACTTGTGTATTTGTGTAGTATATACAAAAGTTTCACCAAATCCCTCCAGTGTGCGTCCCTTCATAAGTCGCACTTCCTGCAACATGTCTCAGGTATTTAGGTATTTTGGGATAAGGAGTTTAGAGCTTGACATTTACATTATTTGAAGATAAAACAAAAGGCTGATGCAGACTAACAACTACCAGGTCACCCTGTTGAGGAGTAAGGTGTGTCACTGTGGTAGTTGTAGTCAGGGCATACCTTCTGGACCAGTTTATAGTCTACACTGTAAAAGGCTATATAGATGCATATGACTTTGAAGGGTTTTGAGCATAACCATGACACATGGCTCTGCGTCTGCTCCTGATAGCACACCTTGGATGGATCAAAGCTGCACAAGGCAGTCTTCTTGTTGCGATCCGTCTTCTCATATTCAATGCGACAGTTGAAAGATTTGGTGTCTTTGGTCTCCAGTGTGGACTGCTGGGCGATCTCAAACTCCACCACCTTGGAAGGTGGCACCAGGCTCACCGACACATTCCCCAGACCTGTGGAGTTGTGGCGGAAGTAAACGCTAAAGGTGCCGTTCCCATGGTCCACAATCTTTCCTGTGATCAGCAAGTTGAGTTTGACAGTCTTGATATTGGAGTGGAAGTCTCCCCAACCAAACATCTTTTTGAATTTGCCAGTCTTGACGATGGGTCTGCGTTTAGTTCTGGCCTGTGCGCCCTGAACATCTGTCTGGTTAGATAACCAGTCCCAAAAGTCCTCCATGCTGTGTAAATATGTCATTTCCCTTATGTTACTCTTGAACTCGGGGGAGCCCCTGGCAAACAAACGCAGGGGGTTGAGGATCCGTGGACTGGCCCCAGTGGGAGATATCTTCTGTTCATTATCGCTGTCCCTCCACTCGATGAGTTCTGTGACTCCTCCATGCACTTTCCTGCACGAGACCTTGATAGGAAACAGAACAGAGATAGATAGAAAAAACAATTAATCAACGTGAAAACCTTTGTGAAATGCAATTTCATTCATTCAAATTCATTGCTTGTTAACGTGACGTGTATAAGAAAGTTTTGACAAAACTCTGTGCAGTCATGTGAAAAGGGTAGACAGCAGCCAAGTGCTGCTAATAATAACTGATCGTTAGCAAGTGTGATCACCTCTATAAATACATCTTAGCAGTTTGTTGGTCTGGAGCATTCAGGTGTATCATAACACAATGCCACAATCTTCCCAGGAGTGCCAAATTCACCCCAAGGCCATCAAAACAGCCACAGCATCAGCTAAAGGTTGGCCCAACTAGGTCGCGCAATGATCCCAAGCATGCCAACAAATCTACAATCTGCAACTGTTTATGTTCACTTCTTAAGAGAACTGCATAAATGAATGCTCACAAAGCTCAATGAACTGAAGCAACACTGTAAATAAGAGTGGACCCACAATGCTGGGAGAGACTGATAAAGTTACACAGAAAACAATTACTTCAAGTTATTGTCCCTAAAGATGCTCATGAATCATGGGGTGTACTTAGTTTTTCTGATATGTTCTTTTTCAGATGGCAGTAGTGTTTTTATAGACTTTCATTTAACAGTGGCAGCCTCAAAGTCAGAAAGTTCTGGGTTTTAACTTCCTGTTCAGCTCAGGGACTTTCTTTGTGGAATTTGACTGTTCCCCTTGTGCTTGCATAGGTTTTTTTCTGTGTGCTCTGGTTTCCTCCAAAAGATATGCATGCTAGGTTACTTTGTGATTCTAAATTGGCCATAGGTGGGAATTTGACTGAGAATGGTTGTGTGTCTTTTGGTCTTATCCCTGTGATGGACTGATAGCCTGTCCAAGGTGTTCTACCTGTCACTCACTGTCAGCTAAGAGGCTTCCTCTACTACCCTAGTTGGTTAAGGGTTTAAGAAAATGGATTGATGGGTGTTCTTTAAAAACTTTCTATTTGGTAATTCTACATAGATGAATTCACATTCATTATACTTTGCTACTCTGCTTTGCATTTGTCTCTTTCACTGACATGTAGCAGAGCAGAGAAAGAGAAAGGTACATACACAAATAATGAAAAAAGCACAGAAAAGCAGCAAAGCTGCAGCTGTAGAGAGCTAAAATGAGAGCGTGCATATAGACAACATGAGCCTATGAATAACTAATATGGTTAATGTTAGATAAACCTTAAGCACGATTGCCAGTTCTGAAGACCAACTTCCACCTCACAAGTTAACAGTAATAGGTTCTTGGGTTTGGTATGTATGAAGTTTCTGTGTTTTTGAGAATTGCCATTGGTATAAAGCAGATGGTAAAAACATTTACCCATAGAGTAAATATAAATAAATAATATTCACAAGGTGTCACCACAGAAGGTAGCTCCACATGTTTCATTTGGCAGATTTTTACACCTCCAAAAGGTTTGGGGCTCTTCCTGGAAACGGTTGCCAGCTAAAACTACTGCTCTAGGGGCAGTATGGACAATTTTCACATTCATCTTCTAGCATATCCTAAAATCCTTTGTTATAGATATTTATGAAATGATTCATTATGGGTTCATTAATAAAGAAAAGGGAAACAAACAGATATTCACAAATGAAATAAAGATTAAATACAGAAAATTCAACAGCAGCATCTCGTACTATTGTAAACTCAGTAATAGGATACTGAAGATTATTACAGGTCTGTGCAAGAAGCTAAATAGCATTCACTGGGCATCACTTAACAACAACCAAATAAATAAATAAATAGAAAATAATCATTAATATAAATATAGCATTAAAAAGTGCATGCACATGCAAATAAATAGCATGTAATACACTACTGCTAGATAGCAGGGGCACCACAGAAGGGAGGAAACAAGAAGTTTGTATTAAACTGAACACATGATGCACTGATGAACTCAAGCAGATTCTGATATTTAGAGTGCACAGATATTCCCATGGACTTCAGGGAAAGGTGAATCTAAACTTTAGCTCGCGCCCACCTATAAACACTCTTCCACGGTAGTGTTATGAAGTACGTACGTATAAAGTATATACGTATATAAAGTATAGTGCTAAGTGCTAATCCAGACGCAGCAATGAACCGTGATCCCTCCTTGTACCTCAAAGCCGTTTAGCTTTAGGAACGATTCCTGGTCCACTTCAGATAAAGCTTTAATAATTCACAGCAATAAGCTTAGCTAGTTTTATTAGTAATTAGTAGTGCTGGGTTTTCCCCGGGCCCAGTTATAGGGATCACTGAGAGAAGCAGATGTTGAAAGTACAGAGCAGCGGCTGCTTGAATTCTCACAGAGATGCTGCATACTATTTCCAGACTAATTATATTTTTGCTGTAAGCTGAACGGAGGCATATGTGTATAAAGCTAACAAACTAGGTCTGTCTAGCACAATTTGTTTTGTCACATATACCCAAACCTTTCCATCTGAAATGTAACAGGGCTACATTCACCTTAAGCTGTGCTGCTGTGTCTTATAATTACAGCTTTGCTTTACTGTGCTGCTTATGTCCGAGACTGCGGTAACACTTTAATGCCTAAAGCGGAAGGTAATGGCTCGCCTATCTGGATATGTAATGTGAAATCAATGGGTCTCCCACGGACAGTGAGCCCGGCCCATTTATCACCTCTCACAATGCTTAATTAAGACAGTTGCTCCCTGTAAACATGGATGAATGAGGCAACACTGTAATAATGCCCCTATGTGTAGTTCATCACATCCAAAGTCATTTAATCAACCAATTCCAGTGGCGTTATTCCCCACTGATACAGCCACTTAGTAATACCTTATGTGAGCTCAGCTGTTAATTTGATTTGACTCTTATAACATCACAACAGCAGATGATGCTAAGCATAAAATCTGCAGGCTCTCAATAGGAACATTTTTCCTCTGCTGTGAACAAGGAAGATATGGCACTTGTCTTCCCGCCAGCTCAAACTGTTATATCTTTAACACGTTGGGTGTCATGCTGCGCGGCTTCAGAGGTGAAACCAAATTGTCTTTCTGCGTAAATCTCAGGTGTGCTTTGTATAGAATGATTATAATGGAAAAGAGAGAGGAGTTTAAGTATGATGAGCAACTGGGGAAATTGCTGTGACAACAAGGGGATCAGCAGAGGGATATCTAATACTTAAATGCCCCAAGAGAGATGAAGCACTAGGAACTTGAAAGCTGGCACTGACACATAGGCTTTGGTTTCTTTCTCTCTCGCTGCCTCCCTGCACAACCACAGCACCAACACACACTCGAGCACACCTTGTTCATTTAGGCAGCAGCGATGTCTCTTAAAACCGACTAAAGGATTCTGAGGTTTTGTACAAAAAAAAGGGGAAAAAAAGGCAAGGTCTGATGAAGGAGAATCTACAAAAGCTTAATTAAGATTTCTTAATCGGTGCTGCCGTGCTAGAGGCGTTTCAGGGCAACTTGAAACAAGACATTATTATGATAATAACTGTAGACTTATAGAGCTGAAAACACCAGACCTCATTTCAACAGCACAAGGCGCAGTGACTCGTGGCAAACATTACGGATATCTGCTAGTGTGGTTTAGCTTCTTCCTTTTCCTGCATGTCCTACATTAAAACACAAAGACATGCGTGAACCTCAGACACCCCGGCACAGATATCGCACTTTTACACCACAGCAGTCAGTGTTCTATCTGCCCTATAAAGGACTATGTTTAGTGATACAGCAGTAAACATAAAGGCCTATGCACCAAACAGTTTCCTGGTAATTTTAATGTACATCCACCAAGATGAGCAAAAACAGTAAGGTCTCACACAAGGTGCTAATAGCTGATATTTCCAGTTCACTATCAAATGTCATGCATAAAACACACGGTTCCTCTCTGAAAGAGCACCTTAATCACTCTCATTAGCTGAGCTAAGCCTTCTTTTTTAATAGACACTCCATCTTTAACGTTATAGTGACTAGAATTCTAAATTTAAATAAATAAAACACATTTGGACTGGTAAAAAATGTATATCTATATACATATATAATGTCAGGAGTAAAATGTTTATGCTTGTATATGTTCGCATTCAAAACAGCTTTTTTTTTTAGGAAATTATGGGGCCATATATAGTTTACAACCCACAATTAAATTTAAACGGTAAAAGACTGTTTAAGTAATGCATTCTTATACATAAAAAAGAATCAGCTACTTAGAGATCTATCAGTATTATCTACTTTATTCTATTTTGTTTTGAAAATGCTTAAATATCTCCAAAGAATACAGAAAAATACATTTTTAACTGGAAAAACATTGCACATCCTGACTAAACATTTTTTTGTAACCGACTTTTAAGGACTCGTATTTTTGTCACAGGCTTACATTAAACTGTTAATATTGGCTGACAAGTGGCAATCACATTTTTCATATGTGCGCATTAATTTCCTGCATAAATGAACGGAAAAAAGGTTTTCAAAAATTAATCTTCAACCACATCCTCAAAGTACACACCCTAGTGTAGCTGTTGAAGACAGAGTGGAAAATACACATTTGTGCCTAAGTCAGAGTTGGGTGAATAGTCTATGAACCTCCAGCTTTTACGCTGCTTTGCATGCAGGACTACCTGTTTTTACTGTGTGTAAAAGTGCATTGTTATTATTACAGACATGAACATCTGTGGCTTTTATTTTTCACCTGTCATTTCTACACCTCGGGGGCCTTTTCCTACAGAACCATGCATAAATAGGCAATTCAATCTAATGTTGTGGCAATCAGTACAATCAAGAGCTTTTCATGAAACTTACATTCTGACAGTAGCTTGAGCAGCAGCGAACCACACAGCGAGTCAGGATGAATCAGCCTCGACATTCATCTGTAACGAGCATTATGGAGCTGGCTGCCTGCTTGTCCCGTGGGTAGACATATCTTTTAGAGGCTTGACATAAAGGTAATTGCCATAGTGACCAGAACTAGCCTCTAGAAAGTTATTAAGAAACCAGTGACATCTGGCTTCT